TTTCAATAGAACCCCCTGAGCTGCAGGGGGGGGGGGACTGGTCTTTCCCTCCCCAGTGGTGGCACCCCCTGGTGCTACTTGGGTGGGCAGTTAGTGGGCTGAATGCTGCCTCAACTCAGAAACAGCACCCAGTCTGATCCAACTCTTTCTCGACCCTGAGCTGGGGCTGCACCCAGCCCAGTAGCAGCCCACCTGGGCAGCCTCAGGGGGTGCTGCCCCTGGAGTGGGAAGGACCAGGGGCCTCACAGCTTGGCCTGCCAGGAGCTCAGCCCCCAGCCATGGAGAGGCAGGCAGGCTCCACCAGAAAATAAAAAGGATTGGGCTTTTCGTTGCTTCTTCCTTCAGTGCATGCCTGCTAAAGGCATGAGTTGTGAGGAACCCGATCCTTTACTTTATCTGTTGAGCCTGCCCATCTCTCCCACAACCGGGGGAAAATTGATTAATAGCTGCAACAAATCACTGCAAACTAAACTACATCAGGATGTAATTTAGTTTGCAATGATGCAAACTCACTTAAAAACCCCAAAACTTCTGCACGTGTACAGCTTGAGGCCATTAAGCTGCAAAAAATGACATTTTCGTGATGTGTACAAGGTAATGGAATCATGTGTACAAGTGCCCTTACAGAGGTCCTTTTCCTTTCATGTGGCTGTGCTGATCCACTTGTTCTCAGTTTCCAATTTCTGTTTCAGTTTGGAGCTCAAACTCTTTCATAGACTTTCTCATTTGCCACTCTTAACGGTATATAGTGATCATTGGGTTCAATAAGCATAGGCATATGCGAATGAAAAAAACTAAATATCAAGTTTTATTTGTGGAGCAACACAGGCTGCTTGCAGATGTGGAAAAAACAAAACAAACTGGTGCTTTCCTTTAAATTCAGCATGCTTCCACACTGAGCCCAGAGCATGCCCAGAAGAGATATCACATTAGTTGGACCCAGCTTTCCCAACATCTGTATAGATCAGGTGCTTTAGTGGAGCTTTTTTGGCAATTTAATCTAACAGCTGATTGAACCTGCTTTAGATAAAAGCAACAAGGGGAGTTGGGAGTCCAAGAAGAGTGGTTGTTACTTAAGGAGATAATCCTCCAAGCCCAAAGGGTGACAGTCCCACTGTGGATCAAAGGAGGCAAGAGTGCTCAAAAGCCCCCATGGCTCACCAAAAGCACCCAGGAACATCTCAAAACCAAAAAGGTGGCATACACCCAATGGAAGGGAGGGGCCATCACCAAGGAGGATTATACCTCCATTGCTTGAGATTGTAGGGGGGCTGTAAGGAAGGCTAAGGTGGAGATGGAAACTGGGACTATCAACCTGGATAAAGGGTAATAAGAAGTCCTTTTTTAAATACATAGGAGATAAAAAGAAGGTACCAAATAGTATGGGGCCTCTGCAGGACATGCTTGAAAATCTGGTGGTCACAACAGATAACAAAGCTAACCTCTTTAACAGATTCTTTGCTTCTATTTTTCTGAGCAGGGACAGTGACATCCCCCACACTGGGATCCTGGATGGACCCAGGGGAGGTGCAGCCAGGCCCAGGGTCAGTGAGGACCTAGCCAGGGAACTTCTGGAGGAAATAGACATGTTCAAATCAGCAGGTCCAGATGATCTCCACCCCAGAGTGCTGAGGGAATTGGCAGAGGTCATTGTGGGACCCCAGCACAGCTTTATGAACACTTGTGGTGCTCTGGTGAGGTGCCAGAGGACTAGAAAAGGGCCAATGTGGTCTGCATTTTCAAAAAAGGGAGGAAGGAGGACCCAGGAAACTATAGGACCATTAGTCTTACTGCGGTCCTGGAAAAGCTCTTGGAGAAAATGATCCAGGTGCATATCTGCGAGGGACCAGCAGGAGAGATTATGCTTAGGGGCAATCAACATGACCCTAATCACAAAATCCTTGGATGCAGGTGTCACGGTGGATGTAGTCTTTCGGGACCTTAGGAAGGCCTTCAACACTGTCTCTCACCCCATTCTCATTAAAAAATTATGTGACTGTGGTGTCAATGCCTACACAATCAGATGAGTCACTAATTGGCTGGAGGGCCAAACCCAGAGAGTGGTGATGGATGGGTCATTTTCGACCTGAAGGGATGTGGGCAGTGGGGTTCCCCAGGGCTTGGTCCTCGGGCCCGCACTATTCAACATCTTCATCAGTGACTTGGACGAGGGGGTGAAAAGCACCTTGTTCAAATTCACGGATGGCACTAAGATGTGGGCAGAGCTGGGCATGATAGAAGGGAGGGACAGGCTACAACTGGATCTGGACAGGTTACAGGGGTGGACGGATGAGAATAGGATGGGTTTCAATACTGACAAGTGCAAGGTGCTGCATCTGGGGAGGAAGAACCAGCAGCATACCTACAGGCTGGGGAACTCCCTTCACATCAGCACAGAGGCAGAAAAGGATCTTGGAGTCACTACTGATTCCAAGATGAACACGGGCCACCAATGTGAGGACACGGTCAGGAAGGCTAACCGCACCTTGTCATGCATCCACAGATACATCATGAGCAGGTCCAAGGAGGTGATCCTCCCCCTCTATACAACACTGGAGTACTGTGTCCCATTCCGGGTGCCACACTTCAGGAGGGATGTGGACAGCATTGAGAGGGTCCAGAGGAGGGCCACTTGCATGATCAGGGGGCAGCAAGGCAGGCCCTATGAGAAGAAACTACAGGACCTGAACCTGTTTAGCCTCCACAAGAGAAGGCTGAAAGGGGATCTGGTGGCTGTCTATAAACTTGCCAAGGGGGACCAGCAGGCATTGGAAGAGTCCCTGTTCCCATGAGCACTACTGAGAGCAACAAAGAATAATGGCCATAAGTTGACTGAGAGTAGATTCAGGCTAGACATCAGGAGGCACTACTTCATAGTCAGGGCAGCTAGGATCTGGAACCAATTTCCAAGGAAAGTGGTGCTTGCTCCTACCCTGGGGGTCTTCAAAAGGAAGCTGGATAGACACCTTGCCGGGGTCGTTTGAGCCCAGCATTCTTTCCTGCCCATGGCACTGGGTCAGACTTGATGATGTGCTCAGGTCCCTTCCAACTCTACCAACTATGAAACTATGAAACAAAAATCCCCAGTGAAGCACTTGATCTATCGAAATAAGGGGCGGGCTGGATGCGGCCCACGAGGCTATTGTATCCAGCCTGTGGGGACCCTAAAAAATTTAGAAAATTAATATTTATCTGCCCCTGGCTTCCTGTCATGTGGCCCTCGATGGCATGCCAGACCTCAGTAAGTGGCCCTCCACCTGATATAATTGCCCACACCTGATCCAGATGCTGCAAAGCCAGTTCAAAATAATGCCCTGCTGCTTCCAGTAAAGCACATATTTTTTCCATATCTGTCAGAACTCTAAAACTGAAGTCCTTTCATCTCTCTAACCAACTAACTGGGTGGCACACACCTCTCTAAATGAGGAACTATTTCCCAGTTCCAAAATCCCTGTCTCTTATTTGAGATCTTCTCTAAATTATAACCTTATCACTACCACAGTACAATGTCCTACTACTTCTCAATGTTGTTTTCACAATGTTATCCTACCACTTTCAGGCAAAATGAAACCGTTTCATTAAAATAGCTTAGTCTCACTGCAATTTTATTTCTGAAAAATTCTAATGAAAGATGTCATTATTGAAACATCTTGTTTCAACATTTTCTGAATGAAATGTTTTGATTTTTAGCTTAGGAATGACATTTCAAATATTGACGTTTTTACATCTCAAGCCCTCTCTCCTCCTTTTTGACACTGGAAAGAGGAATTATCTTAAATATAATGCTAAAAGAATCAGTATTATATTGCATAGATTTTGCTGAACAGGACTGAAAAAATATCATTCTATACAAAATAGGTATTTATTCTGTTGTCCTTCTTTGCAACCCATTCACATCATTCAACACAGACCCACAAACTGCATGTGTCAGAATATCATTCTCAGCCATGTACATTTAACACTTTTCTAATACAGGTTGGAGAAATTCTATTCTTTTACAGCCTTTAATTTCTACATCGTTATTTCTTGGGGAGTTACTTTAAGGGCCTTAAATTAAGGCTGTTATGTTAATAACAGAATTTAAAAGTTTTCCTGAACATTTTCTTCGGCTTCCTTTGATTTTTATCATCACCGTTTCTTGTTGTAATGTGGAATGATTTGATCCTAAGAATCTAAACTAAAACTCAGCTGTCATTACAAACAGAACTTTGCATAGTTTACAAAACTTGAAACCTATACTATGAATATGCCTTTTTATTTGAAACTTTAATGAAACACTAAGCTGGTGGCTTCATTTGATATGATTTTGGCTGTTGATTTTTTTATTTTATTTTATTTTATTTGTGAAATGTTATTTCTCTTATTTCACAGAGCTCTATTACTATGCCAGAGAGGAAGAATCTGAAAAGTATCTCAGACTTGACTTAATTTATGAACCTCACTTGAAAAACTATAGTGGACACTTCTAATTAATCTGTTCACATACAGATGAGTTCATTGATATTCTTGACATTTTTTAAAAGATAAAAATATATTTTACAAATATCCTTTGATTATTGCATAAAAATATTAAGCTTTAATCTATCTCCTGGTGAGTGGTAGATGCAAAGGATCATCATCATATATATTTGAAAAAAATAAAGGTTGAAAATGGACAACATCTTTTTACTGCTTTTAGGACTGTATCCCCCTTGTTGTCTCCCACACTCAAGGTCCAGTATACTTCATGATAACAGTTGTCCATTCATATTAAGTCATTTATTTTTTCATTTAAGTCATAGCTAGAAAACCCCAAAAGAATAATTAGGAGATTGTTTCTGGAGCAATTCCTAAAATAATTATACTTAAGATTGGAAAGCTTCCTGAAATTCTGAATAACAAAGATACTAGTGGCAGGCAGACATGATGGACTCTTGATATTGCCTGTTGTTCAGAAAGTAGAAAGCAAAGACCTCAGGAAACGATCCCTGGCGTCAGTGTTGTTTAATGTAGATGCTGAAGGAAGTTCAACGGAAAACATTTATCAGGAACTTCTATCCAGAAAGGAAGATATGTTGTTTTGAGGAAAAGTGCAAATATTACTCAGCACACCAAGGGCAAAGGAAATAGGAAGTGGGTTAGAGAGTTTTCTGAAATAATCTGTCACTGAAATGTGAGAAAACACACTTCTGTATTTGCACATTTTTGTTTTAAATTGTGATACAACTCAAGAAGATGACCTTTTTGCAGTATTGTGCCACTAAGCTTCTTAAAGGTAGGACAAAAATATTATTTTTATTTGTTTATTTCTTTTGACAGGTCATTAGCATGCTTATTATTGGAGGTTTTGACAATGCTGAGGAAAATACAATCTTATCAAGAAAATTGGATTTTATTTATACTTTATCAGAATAGTTGATTAGATGAGGTTTTATAGATTAAAAAAAAATTAAACAGTAAAATTAGTACATTGTTCTATATTGACAACAGTTATTAGTCAGCTGTTAGAGGGCCATTATGGAATTAGACCTATGAATCCTACCTTTTCCTTCTCTAGTATATTTGAGTAGATGCAGGCAGAATCTGGTCATAAACATGATGTGTCTATTTAGATTTGTGTTTGAATCCTAAATATATTGTGCTTAAATACTTATTTAAATTAGAGTCAATAGGGTTAATTTGTCTTCTTTACAATTAAATAGTAGGGTTGTGTGAAGTAGTAGTTTCGGTCACTGATTCAATTCAGCAGAGATCAGGCGAATCAGGAGACCCTTTAATCTCTCTGAATCAAATCAGAACCCTCTGAATCAATTCTGAGAGATTCGACAATTTGGACATAGACACAGCTTTAAATGTTTTTTGTACGTACCCCAAGGTACCAGGCAGCTCATGAATACTGAAATGGTGGGGTGGATGGAGTGTCCCACAGGAGCATGGGGGTGTCTCTCAGTGTGCTGAGCAGCAGACCTGGAAGTGGACCAGAAGCACTTCCAGTCCACTTCTGGGTCCACTGGGAAGCATGCAGGCCCCACCCCCTGCTCCCTCCCGGCTTGGTGACTGGTGCCTCCTGGGTCTGGGAGGGCACCCGAGTTCCCCCCCACAGCTGATCGGAGAGCCAGAGGAGCACATGGGGGCCCACCAGTGTGCTCAGTGACAGACCTGGAACCACTTCTGGGTTCACTGACGAGAATGCGGGGACTCCCCATGCTCCTGTGGGACTCTCCATTTGCTTCACCATCACAGCATTGACAAGCCACGCCTGGTACCTCGAGGTATGTAGAAAAAACATTTAAAGCTGTCTATGGCCAAATTGCTGATTCTCCAAATCAGCATTGAATCTTCAGATTTGGATTCGACCAAATCAAATTGGGACAGTGATCCAAATCAACGAATCAAGTCACTGTCCCCAATTTGGGCTCTAACCAAATCTGAATCAAATACGGCCCATTTTGCACACCCCTATTAAATAGCTATTAAGATAATACGCATACATTAATCAACTTTGGTGCTTCATTGTTAAATATATTATCTGGCAAAGTAATAAGTGACTGAAGAAAATGATATTATTTACTAGTACATAAAATGATTGGAATGATTACATTTTACTAGTTTCTTGTTTTAAATATAGTATATTATAATTTTTCTTTATTGACCAACATTTTATGGTTTAAATTGTCATTTTTTTCCCCTATATCATATTCCAGCTTGAATTCCAGTATTATTACAACTGTTTTTTCCATTTCCTTCATTCGTAACATATCTGAGAATTGTATTCAGGAGTGAAATATATAAATGACTTAATGAGTCCCAATTCAGGGAGCCATTAAAATAGGCCAAATTCTGGGAATTAGAATATAAATATAATTTAATATAAATTTATTATAAATTAAAAACAGATACAGTAAAATCCCTGTTATCTGGCATGTGTGGGGAATGGGGAGTGCTGGGTATCAAAAAATGTTGGTTACCTGAAGCCAGTGATTTTCAGCCAGATGCAGAGTGGGGGACTGGGAGAGGGTGGCGGTGGCTGCACAAGGACCAGCTGCAGCACAGTGTTGTGGATAATAGTGGCAGCCACCGTGTGCTACCTTCCCCCACTCCTGCCCATGTCCATCTGGCTGGCCAGAAATTCTGGTTGATAGTGTCCCAGTTATTCAAATGCCAGATAACAGGGATCTTACTGTATATCGAAGATTTATGATTAACTTGTTAACTATTTGTTGACTGAAATCCAGTTACTTAAAAGATATTTTGGTAATGGCAAAGATTAGATTATGACAACTGTTCAAAGGTCCATGGAAATGAAACAGTGGATTTAGGTTAGTTTCTACTGGATGGCTGTGACATGATAAAAATATTTACATGTTTCTTGTCTTATTAAAATGGAGAATGCTGACACAGTAAAAAAGTCAGAAGTGTCTTTTAAAAGTGGTCTGTTGAGTGAAGACAATTGAAGTGAAGTTTACAATCAAATTATTGTTGCAGTACCAGTTATTTTAGCAGCGTGGCCTGCTTTTCTTCACAACTTTTGTACCCTCTGTTTCCTAATTACCACTTTCTCTTTAGCAGCTCTGCTTCCCTCAGTCCCTTTTTAATTGGGAGTAAGCCCTGTGCTTAAGAAAGTTTATGTTATAAATCTCTGGCTTAGTTAGTCTGTATAAAGGTGAAAATCTACCCTGCCTTCTGCCTAATCATAAGACTCCACTCCAAGAGCTGTCAATCTGGCACTTTTAATTAGAATTAAAATCCATTTTAAAAATTAGAATAAACTACTTTCAGTTACCCTGAAGAAGCTCATGACTAAGGACTACGAATTTACAAACAACTGTGCTGTTATCCAATCCCATACCTAATGGCTTTGTGCAAAAGAGAATCTTAGAAGGAGGTACTAGTTTTAGCCCTGGTGGAGAAAATGCCACTAAAATGTTCTGGAACTGAGGTCCACTCATTGATAGGTTAGACTGGGGTTTTTAACCATGGTCAGCAGTCTAGTAGTGGAACCCCAATAGTTAGATAAATGAATAATCTCCTTTGCTCTGGCAGCTCTTGCAGTCAATCTGGTTCCAAGCATACTGGCACCTGCTTTTCCTTTGGATTAAACCAGCAACGCTGAGAGAGGAACACTGGTGTGTGAACAGCTCAGTTTCTCCATATACACTACTCAGACTTTTGCACCCTGGAGAGATCACCCAGCTTCACTTAACCCTTTAAGCAAGGTTTCTGTTCAGTGAACTGATGTCTCATTTGGTATAATTCTATTATCTCATGAGACAGACAGATGCCTACTACTACTAATTAAATAACAGAGCAATTTGGTTTGGGTTTTATTTTGCTTTCCTAATCTAAGCATATGACACTACAACAGCAACATATCAACTTTAAAGTAGTTAACTTTTAAGAAAGCTTCAAGAAAAACTGTTTAAGTTAAGTTTAGTTGATTTAGTGCCAGTTTAGTTTAATTCTTTTTTAAAGTTTTAAGTTTAAATCAAATTATTTAAAGTATAGATTTTTGGGGGGTTGATAAAGAGGTTGAATAAAGGGCCTAAATGCTCACTGCAGCAGCCAAAAGTATTAGAATTTTATAATGTGAGAAAGTTTAATCGTGCTTTGAGATGTTTTTGATTTCAAAATGAGCAGCCAAGAAAACAGACAGAGATTAACATAATTTTTCCCTTTTTACTTTTTGGATCTAGGCACAAGGTTCCCTGCCCCCCCTTTCCTTATACTGACATATATTGTTACATGATAGGTCATGTAGGTTATTATAAAATGAGATATTATTTTGTGATTGGAGACTTTGACTCAAAGTTCTTTTTGGAATGATGTTGGATTACATTTTTATCTATTCACTGCTTGAAACTTTTAGCCAAAATGTCAAACCAACAGTACTTCATAAAGGTAATATAATACTCCTTATGACTGCAATGTAAATACTCTGTGGGTGTGTCTACATGTGCATTTATGCCATCTTAAATTACTGTGCAGTAATTTACTGTGCATTAAGTAGGAATAGGCAGGTGTCTCCATATGCAGGCACTACTGCATGTTAACACTGTACATGGACTGACCTGGGACTAAAATTAATCCCAAATCAGTCCCCACACAGAGTTAATATTCAGTAATATGTCCACATGTGCATTACTGTAATCAGGCATGATGCAGGTATCAAATTTATGCTCAAGCTGGTGTAAGTCACCATGTTTACTGTGCAGTATGGGTGTGCACATGTAGACTTGCACCCATACTGTACAGTAATTTCAGTTACTGAACAGTAAATGTGCACATGTAGAGGCACTGTGTTAGAAGTAAAAACCACTTAACAAGCCAGTCCTTTGTCTTTACCGTAAAGGAAGGGTATTATTTCATAATCAAGACCAATTAGACACAAACCAAAGCATAGAAGAAAAGGGGATGGTGTCATTGTGAGTGGCACATTTTGTAAGTACATGCTCCTTTCCTAATAATCTTTATGTATTTATATAAAAATATTCTACAGTAGAGAAATCTTAGCCCCCTCTGCATGTTATAGGTATTGTGCAATGAACTGGTTAAGTGCACAACTACTTTAAGACCAGCTACACATGCAAAGCAGCTATTACATGATAAAAAGTTCCAACCAGCTATAAAGTTAGACCTCAAAAGTGTGTGCTAACTTTATAGCTGGTTGCGATCAAGCTTAAATTTATATGCGTATAGGATCTCCCCTGCCATAGGAGCCCATTCCCAGGTGTAGGGGTACACCACGCCCAGTCTGAAACCCCCAGGCCCTATGTTACTTTTTTATTGGACTTGTGGTTAGAAGTGAGATTAATTGATCAATGAGACCATTCCAGTCACAACCTGAAAGCTTTATTAGGATATGCAATAGCAAAGACTTAATGGGACTAATAAAGACAATTCTTATGAAACCTTGGATTCAGGAAGAAATGGTCTGCTGGCCAGATGTCTCTGCTTTCCTGGAGACTCTTGTTGACTTGTGTTTTCCTG